GATCATGCTCGTAAGGTTCTTCTACAAGCCGTAAATCTACAACATCAGGCTGCCGGCTTTACTTCCCCTCCAAAGGAGGTCGTGCTACGGATTTTTACCACCCTTAAAAATCCATCGACCTGGCCGGGTTTGAACCAGTGAATGTTGGGTCTAGTGGTTAGCATGCTCACCACTGGACCCACCGAGGGCGACGGATATATATTAAATATAATTCTGAATACCCTTATTAAAATAATATAGGTTGATTATTTCATATCGCTTTTGAGAAAACAAAGTATACTTTGTCAATAAGATATTAGGCTTACCAAGGAAAAAGTATAAAGTTATCATTTTGCTGCCCTCGTGTAGGAAGAACCAAGTTTTTAAAAACTGATTATAAATATAATATAATATAAATTGGAAAATGTTCACTTGTAAGACTGTAAAGGAGATGTAAGGGGCAGCATTCATTCGGATATTACGGATCAGTTGGCGAGAATGAGAGGTGGCTGGAAGTAACTCAGTCACATCCAAAAACAGACTTCGACATTAGGAATACCGAACCTTCAGGTTGTGTTTTCACAATGTTAGTTAGTTTTTTTTTTCATATTTAAAAACATCTGTACAGTATAAATGATTGTATATGAAAAATCCATTAGTCTCTGCTACTACTTCAACAGTGTTCAGTTCACTGTCAAATGATATATTAACTTACTCTTGACTTCTCTGATTTATCGCAATCCAACTCTGCAGCAAGATTTTGGTGTTCCTTAAAATTGACAATTTTTGGGTCGCTCCATCTGTATTCAACTCTCTGCCTGTTCACTCCATCAGTCTCAAACACTGTTCTAAGGTGAGACCTGTAATTATCGTAATAAGAAAACAAAAATGTGACAAACACGTCTGCCTGACCGATCATTCAAGTCTCCAGTATAGTTTCATTATGAACAATTTGTTTATTGAAGGCTGTCTTCTGGGTTGTAACACCATATAGTGTGAAATGTTGGTAAATTTCTACCGGACTACACGGTTCTACAACACAGAGGACAGCCACCTTTGGGCTCGCTGTCGAAAAGTCCTCAAATCCTACATAATTTATTTATTCCTTCTTTCGTAAAATTTCATTATGGAACCTAAAAGTTCACCAATGCCATCACAAAAGCTCACCATTTGGCCCAGTCTGCAGATATTTCACTCTGGTCAAATATGATTCAGTCAATGCAACAAATCCAACAAGAGAGTATAATTACAACAGTAAGAAATAGTTTATTAGACAAAATGTTAATCATCCGGAAATGCGTCCCAGATCTCATACAGTCCTGGTGAAAATTAGCCCGAAACCAATGATTAATAACTACTAAGCCATGAGGCCAAAATATTACTATGAGGAAAATACTTACTTTGATACTTTGACGACCCATCTTCAAGTGCCTGAGCACTGCGGGTCCAAACTTTTTCGTAGGCTTTGATCGTTAGACATTCGGTAGGACTCCTTTGGACGGGGGATCGGCCCGTCGCAAGGCCTCTACCTGTACACAGGACAGCACGACACAGAATAACGCGGACAAACATCCATGGCTTGAGTGGAATTCGAACCCACGGTCCCAGTGACCAAGCGACACAAGGCCCACGATGAGGAAAATAATGGGGACAAATTTCCAACACTTACACATTTATGGGAGGTGTGGATTCTAAAGTTCCAGCTGAGATGCCATCATCCTGTAAATAAATTAAACCAGTGACATTTCAAATCACTTAATTTCAGCCGTATCAAAATTAATACTGTGAACATTTCTGAGTCTGTGAAACTCTTCTCATGCCATTGTCAGTTACTGAACATGTAGATTCTCTGAAATTAAACGAAGTACAAAGTATTACTGTTCCCAGTCACCCCAATAGGCATCCTTATCCCAGGCAACTGAAGGTTCAGTACTTCAGGTTGGCAGCACTTTTCATGGGAATTATATTTTTCAACAGCTCACAGATATGGCGAGGGATGTTAACAAACTGAATATTGATGGCATTTCTTTATTTATGGTTTATTTAACAACAGTAGCTCAAGTGATATGATGGTTAATGAATAGTGATGACAAATTGATATGAAAGAGAGTATGTGGCCTAATTTAAGATACTATTCAATCCTGGAAGCAACGAGGAAGACTTCAGTCAGGGTATTAGCATCTGTTTCAAGATTTGAACTGAGACATTACAAACATAAAGCAAAAGGATTGTGTTGTCTTCTGGGTTGTAGCAATGTGTAGTCTGGTAGAGGTTTATCGAAGTTTCAGAGGTCCTTGCTGCCTCCGTCATCACAGCGATGACTACACGGTGCTACAACCCAGAAGACAGCCACCTTCGGACTCACTACCATGAAAATCTCAAATCCTACTGGAGTCAGATAAGTTTACCACCAAGTAGAATTTCTTTGAAGATGGCTGACTTCAGATTCAACGCTGTGAAAACCTCAAATCCTACATAGCACTTCGTCATTCCTCCCTCTGAGAGCCAAAGCCGACTAGCTGGCTGCTGGCCTCACGTTCACATGCCTAAGCAGAGGTGAACGATCATCCAACCAGATATAGGGTGACATGTGGTCAGCACGACGAACCCCCAGCCATTGCTAGTTTTCCTGACCGGATTACGCTACTCATTGTAGCTCCCCAATTTCCTCACGATGCTGGGTTGGCACCGGTCCCATACACTGGTCGAAAATCTCATGAGAAAATTTCTTTCCCCGAGACTCGAACCAGCGCGCATTCCGTATCGCCGGTCCGAAGCATGATGCCTCAGACCGAGTGGCTACGGCGCGGGACGGATGTCACACATGCAATACAAAAATTATAATAAAAAGTCATCTACTATTTACAAAAAAAAGGTTATTATTTATTAAGTAATGAAGGAAAATCTTTTTAGATTTGATGTCTTGTAAGACCAGTGTGAATGACATCCACTACCCCAAGTAAGTCAGTTTTGAATGTTATTGTTTTCAAATAAAAGAAAGCAGGAACAGGAAGTTTACACGCTGATTTTTACTTCGTAATTATGCACACAGAACTTACTGTATCTTCAAAACCTAAGATTGTTCTTTGTTATTATTGTAGATAGATTCTAATAAGTTTCCTAGGAATTTCCTCTTGAGTCATGTCATAAAGAAGTCACCTTTATGAACACATAAAGAAGATTCTAGATCACGGTACGATACAACAACTCTCATGAAAATAAACTAAACTGTGACGCCTGCATTTCGCTCCATGAAGGATTTCCTGTGTATTTTCACCTTATAACAAGTCTGCCATAAAAAAAATGCCAAATATTTAACGAACAAACAGAACTCACAGTTATAGCTTGCGCTGCACCATCACATTCATCATGAAGCTCTCCTTGCTGCTGATGGTATGCAAGATCTGGTATGTCCAAACCAGATTTGCCCCTCTGTTCATTCAGAGCATCGGTCTCAAACGCTGCTCTCAGCTCAGAACTAAAGGAAGCAAAGTATACACACTGAGATGTTCATTCTTTCTATTAACCTCACCCTGATGATAGAGGCAACAAGGATCTCTGAAACATTGGTAAAATTCTACAAGATTGTACAGCGCTACTACCCAGAAGACAGTCATTAACCAAGTTGCTAATTAGTGAAAATCTTAGAAAATGAGATGATCATATTCTATAATTTTTCCTTTAATTTTCTCAATACTACCTATTGTGACGTGTTGCACACAGGATTATTCATGGGATACTACAATAAGACGCTATAAAAAACTCCCCTCCATTACAATAAGTAATATGTCAGAAAAGATACTTTCAACATGTATCATCTGTCAGCGAGTGAGAATTTTAAAATCAATATTGCTATTCTGGTGCAAACATTTCACATTATAAAGCATGCTATTTTTATAAATAATATATATCACCTGTTTCATGTTGCTAGTTGTCTTACATGTGTCTGTATACTTACAGTTTAGTCCTTTATGACAATTTTATTGGCATAAAAAATCGAAAGACAGTTAATCTCATACAGTTTTGTAACGTGAATTTTATATTTGGTAGTAGTAATTAACTATTATTTTCAAATTAATGTAATATCACTGTCATACTAAAGTCATAAACACACATAACCACAAATGTTTCAATTTCGACTTTGACCTTCAACCATGTGCTGAAAAACATATGGGTCTGAATATAAAGTTTCCATCATTGTCTGATTTTAACAAAAATTGAAATGTGTTGACAGATTTTACTAAAACTCCCCTGTATTCAATTTAATGGAAATCTGTTGACCAATTCTACAGGTGTTCCATAACCTAAAAATTGTGTATGCTCTTTTCTTCCACAATAAAATACCCAACAATGTACACACGTTATCAAGACTGGAAATAAATTGAGAGTTTATGTCAAACCTGCTGCAATTCTTGTCCTGTGATCATGAGTGCTCCTAGGTTTAAGAATGTAGTGGAAATAATGAAATATTAGTTAAGACATAATTCCCACAGTTACCAATCATTTGGCTCGTAGGAATACAATTATTTATAATAGATAACTAATTAACAACTCCATGGAACTCAATCCTTTTTGAGAATCTTACAGTTGTTCAGTTAGTCAAGAAATTTTACCAAAATGGTACCTGAAGGTCCATTACAATGTTCACAAAAGCCTTGACATTAGTCCCTATCCAGAGCCACATGAGTCAAATCCACACCCCCAAATCCAGTGTTCCTAAGATCCATTTAAATATGTTATTTTTACCTATGACAAATTCTTCTCAGGGGTCTCTTACTTTCAAATTTTCCAACAAAAATTTTGTATGTATTTCTCATAGTTGGTGAAAAATACATATTATGTAGCTTCATGATTTCGTCCTACAGTCTGATGACAAGACAAGCTTCCTTATCAGCATATAACAGTGTTTGTCCTTTTCTTTGTTATGTTTATGTCTAGAAATATCTGATGTACTGTCCAATTCTGTTCCAATTTTTTCTTCAGTATCTGACGAGTACAGAATATCTGATCAATATTTTATTGATTACATCAAAATAAACACTGATGGTCCCCAATAATTTCATTTACATATGGAGTTAATCTCAACAGGATAAAGTTAAAAAGAAATTATTATTGCCTTGAATGGGATTCGAACCCACGATCCCAGTGTCAAAGTGCACGAGACCCAGGGCCTCAGACCACACGGCCACTGTGACTGGCACCTTCATCTTGCAGTTTGCATATTCAAAATATAAGAATCTGCAAAGATTTCACCATTCTTAACTTTTACTAAGTTAGTTCTGGAACGGTAACTTTGTAAATTCAGGTACATCTCAGAACAGTTCTCTTTTGTTTCAAGGTTAATAAGTCCATCTTAGAGAAAGTCTCTTTTCCATTAGAGATAACAGCACAAAAAATACTTTAAAACACGAATAAATGTAAATCAGCAATTTGTTAATTTCCAAGAAAACTTTATTTGGTGTTATTAAATGTATATCCTAATTCGTCAAAGGATCTACTTCAGATAAATTACGCAATAAATATACTTACAGTCTGTGGTAACTTTGTTGGTTCACAGTTTCATTTAGTTCGTCGGTGTTGGTATCCCTGCTGCTGTTGATACTATTTGTGTAACTGCTTTCATTCTGTACGCAAAAGAACAATGTTGATAAAGAATCTGTATACACTGAGGAAAACAGAAAGAAACACTTTTTTGTTAGCAACTGGAGACTTGGGGGAAAAAAAATGCACATCTCCTATGCAGATATACAGAGTCCATCCCAGTCTGCGAAGTTGTATCAGTGTCGAAGGCGGTCACTTTGAATACATAAGAGTTAAAAGCATATTTCCCCACTTAATGGTACCTGCACCTTGTCGTGGTGGTGGGGCCGAGTACCTCAGTGACCCCAAGAGCTACTGGTAGGGCCTCCCTACCCAGATTGGTCGAGGGGCAGAGGTCAGACTAAGACAGGTACCCTGGTCCTCCAGGTTGGGGGTTGGTCACAAGGGTAACAACCTTGCACCGTAAAAAGGAAGATGTTTCGAAACCTCAATCAAAGC